GTCCCGCGGGAGGTTGCAGATGAAGATACCGCCGCCGGTTTGTGGCTCAAGTTGGAGAGCTTGTACATGACGAAATCTCTAACGAACAAGCTTTACTTGAAGCAACGCCTCTTCACCCTTCGCATGAAGGAAGGTATGCGAATTAAAGACCACTTAGATGAACTTAACACTATTCTTATGGATTTAAAGAATATTGATGTTAGAATCGACGAAGAAGATCAATCACTCATCTTGTTATGTTCATTACCTCATTCCTATGAAAATTTTGTCAATAGCATGTTATACGGTAGAGATACACTTTCTTTGGAGGATGTTAAATCAGCCTTACATTCAAAAGAGTTAAGGCAGAAAGTGTCTGTCGTAGGAGGAGAGGATCAAGCTGAAGGCTTGTTCGCTCGTGGTCGTCCTGAAAAGGGTGTTGGAGGTAGAGGCAAATCTAGAAACATGTCTAGATCAAAGTCCAGACCAAGAAGAAATGTTGAATGTTATTACTGTCACAAATATGGGCATATAAAACCTAATTGTCTAGCGCTCAAAGCAAAGGATAATTCACAGTCAAAGTCTGGGGAGGTGAAGACTTCAGTTGCCACTGTAACTGAAGATTCTTCTAGTTCACATGCATGAAGTTCTTTCAGTTAGTGTTAATACTCATTCACAAGATGAGTGGGTTCTTGATTCGGGTTGTTCCTACCATATGTGTCCGCATAGGAATTGGTTTGTCATATATCAGTCTATCGATGGTGGGAATGTCTTGTTGGGAAATAACATGCCTTGCAAGACTGTTGGTATCGGATCAATTAAGATTAGAACCCATGATGGTATTGTTAGAACATTGAGCAATGTCCGTCATATTCCAGAGTTAAAGAAGAACCTCATTTCTTTAGGCACCCTTGACTCAAATGGTTTTAAGTTTTCGGCTGAAGGTGGAGTTTTGAGAGTTAGTAAAGGCTCTCTTGTTGTGATGAAAGGAAAGAAGGTAAATACCCTCTATATCCTTGAAGGCAGTACAGTGACAGGTGCTGCAGCAGTGTCATCCTCAGAGGATTCAGATTCAGACACTACACATTTGTGGCATATGCGGTTAGGGCATATGAGTGAGAGAGGACTGAATATATTGAGCAAACAAGGTCTGCTTTGTGGTCAGAAAACCAGCAAATTAGACTTTTGTGAACATTGTGTTTTCGGTAAACACCATAGAGTATCCTTTAGTACAGGTGTCCATAAAACCAAGGGTACTTTAGATTATATCCATTCAGATGTTTGGGGTCCCTCTCAGGTTCCATCGAAAGGTGGCATTCAGATGTTTGGGGTCCCTCTCAGGTTCCATCGAAAGGTGGAGCTCGTTTTCTGCTAACATTGATTAATGATTATTCTAAAAAAGTTTGGGTGTGTCCTTTGAAGCATAAGAGTGATGTGTTTGCAACCTTCAAGCAATGGAAGGTTATGATTGAGAAGCAAACAGGAAAGAAAGTGAAGCGCCTCAGAACCGACAATGGGATGGAGTTTTGTTCCACGGACTTTGACCTGTTCTGCAAGAATGAAGGTATTGTGCGTCATCGTACAGTTCGGCATACACCACAGCAAAATGGAGTTACAGAAAGGATGAACAGAACACTTTTAGAGAGAGCTCGGTGCATGCTCTCTAATGCCGGTTTGTCAAAAGACTTTTGGGCCGAGGCAGTCAATACAGCTTGCTATTTGATAAACAGATCTCCTTCTACAGCAATTGATTTTAAGACTCCAGAAGAGGTATGGTCTGGTGCTCCTGCTAATTACTCTCATTTAAGAGTATTTGGTTGCTCTGCTTATTTTCATGTTAATGATGGTAAGCTTGAACCTAGAGCAAAGAAAGCTATCTTTCTAGGATATGCTACTGGGGTGAAGGGATATAGATTGTGGTGCTCTGATCCCAAGTCACCTAAGTTTATTATTAGTAGAGATGTTACTTTTGATGAAAAATCCATGCTTCACCCTAGAAAGGAGTTTGTTATTGACACTACAGGCAATGAAAAGGAGTCTAGCAAGCAGGTGGAGCTAGAGAGCTCAACTTCAAAGAAAGTGCTTGAGGGCGCTCATGTTGAACCAGTTGTTACTAAGGAAGGTTCAACTTCAGATGCTGATACACCACAAGAGCAACAGTATAATATTGCCACCGGGAGAACAAAACGGCAGATCCGACCGCCTCAACGCTACACAGACATGCTTGCTTATGCTTTGAGTGTAGCAGAATCGATTGAGGTTCCAGAGCTTTCTACATACAAGGAGGCTATTAGTGGCAATGAGGCTGCAAATTGGACTGTTGTGATGACTGAAGAGATGGAGTCTCTTCACAAGAACCAGACATGAGAGTTAGTGAAACCACCAAGGGGACAGAAGATCGTTGGCTGTAAATGGGTCTTCAAGAAGAAAGAAGGAGCTCCGGATACAGATTCTGTAAGGTACAAGGCACGCTTGGTAGCTAAAGGCTACAGTCAGACCGAAGGTGTGGACTTCAATGAAGTATTCTCTCCAGTTGTAAAACACACCTCAATCCGCGTGTTGCTTGCCATGGTTGCTCATTTTAATTTGGAGCTTGAGCAACTTGATGTGAAAACGGCTTTTCTACATGGTGAGCTTGAGGAGCAGATCTTTATGCATCAACCAGAGGGATTCATTGTTGAAGGTAAAGAAGATCATGTGTACAGGTTGAAGAAATCTCTTTATGGGTTGAAGCAGTCTCCGAGACAGTGGTATTTGAGATTTGATACTTTCATGTTTGAGCATGGTTACTCTAGAAGTAAATATGATAGTTGTGTTTATCATAAAAAGCTCAATGATGGTTCTTTTGTATATTTGCTTTTGTATGTTGATGACATGTTGATTGCAGCTAAAGATATGTCAGAAATCAACGAGTTGAAATCTCAACTCAAACATGAGTTTGAGATGAAGGACTTAGGAGCAGCAAAGAAGATTTTGGGGATGGTTTATTCCTATCTCAGGAGAAATACATTAAGAAGGTGTTGGAGAGATTTGGCATGCTTGATGCCAAGCCTGTGAAGACTCCGCTTGCAGCTCATTTTCGTCTTTCAGCAGATTTGTCACCTCAGACTGAGGAGGAGGAGCAGTACATGTCTCATGTTCCTTATGCGAGTGCAGTTGGAAGCATTATGTATGCGATGGTTTGCACCCGTCCAGATATTTCACATGCAGTCAGTGTTGTGAGTCGGTACATGGATAAGCCTGGAAAGGTCCATTGGTAGGCTGTGAAATGAATACTTAGATATTTGAGAGGATCTGCTAATATTGGTTTGTATTTTGGCAGGAACACAGACTCAGATTGCAGAATACTTGGCTATTCTGATTCAGATTATGCGGGTGATTTGGATAAGAGACGATCCCTGACAGCTAATATATTCACTCTTTCAGGTAGTACCATTAGTTGGAAGGCGACACTACAGTCGACAGTTGCTTTGTCTACTACAGAGGCAGAGTATATGGCAGTGACAGAAGTAGTGAAAGAAGCTATTTGGTTGAGAGGTTTGGTTGAAGATCTCGGCTTACACCAAGGTGTTACTACGGTATTTTGTGACAGCCAGAATGTTATACATTTGACAAAACATCAGATGTATCTTGAAAGAACCAAACATATAGATGTCAGGTATCATTTTATCAGAGAAATTAAAGTCATCAGGATTGAGAAGATTGGTACTGCAGATAATCCAGCAGATATGATGACGAAGCCCGTACCTTCGCGCAAGTTCGAGCATTGTCTCGAATTGCTTGGAGTTCGATAAAGCGAAGGTTAAGCCCGTAAGGGGCTTCTGGCGAGACAGCAAGAGTAAAGAGAAGACCTTCATTTTCAAAGTCAAGGTGGAGATTTGTGAGAAACGTGACTTTAAAAAACAAAGGTCTTCATCTACCTACTTTGGGATTGTTTTTTCCAAAGTTAGCAGCTCATTTGTCAATGCCTCACCTACCCATTCATGAATATTTTATTATTTTTGTAACTTATAAAAGGGGGGGGGGGGGGGGGGGGGGGGGGTGAGAGGAGGTGGTTTAGAGCATCGAGGCAGTGAGCATCAGTTGGAGAAAGAAAAGAAAGAGAGAGAAGAAGAGTTTTAGAGAGAAGAGAGTGAGATAGAAAGAATTTGTCTCTTTCTTTGTGTGAGTCTCTGGCAAGAGAGTGATCTCCTCTTTGTAATCTTCTCGTTGGTGATTAGTAAAATTCTCTGTTGTTCTTGCCCGTGGACGTAGGTCATATTGACCGAACCACGTTAAATCCTGGTGTGCTGTTTTCTATTTGTTCACTCTTGTATAGACATCTTCTGTGTCTGTGAAGCCCCTCCGCTGCAACAGTTCTAATGGCTATTTTAGTGATCTGAGGGGCTAATTTAAAAATAACTTACGGATTGTGGTATTCAATAGAAATTTCAATCATTTGGAGGACTAATTTTAAAAATATGAAAATTTTAAGGGATCAATATATGATTTTTTTTTCTTTGTTATTTGTTGGCTTATGTTCACTTTAGTACTCCCAAATTTTGCCCACTTGTCACTTGGATGCATCAAAGTATTTTTTCTAAGACTTTGGTACCCCAAGTTTCGATCAAATTTCACTTTTATACCTCACACTTTGATACCTAGAGTTTCAATCACATTTCACTTTGATCCAATGTCCATAGTCTAAAATTTATATCCATTCTTAGCATGTGATTCTTTTGACGAAACCATTTTATCCGGCTGTTAAGCATGTGATAAGCAGACAGGTTTGAGGAAACCAAATGAGCTCTTTTATATGCCGTAATATTTTGATACTAGATAGAATCCAAATCCAGTTTTAAAAGCTACCTTAACCTTTTGCTGAATACAATCATTTTAATGATTGTATCATTAATCTAATCATGCACTTAGATAAAATTAATACTTCAATAGATAAAGGCAGGAATATGAGCTCGATCTCTGTAAAGAAAGAAAAGCTACGAGGGCGCAAAGTTCATAGTCGTTGCCTACATCTGAGCACGTACGTGCATGTAACCTACACATGCACGCGGCTCATAATGTTGCCAATCTACCAAAAAATAACCCCTCTTCTTACTAATTTACCATAACACCACAGTGATTTAACCTAAGGAAGTTCAATACTTCATTTCTAACAAAAAAACCGAACCTGAAATTGAAAATAAAAGAAAACTAAGAGAAAACTGAAGAGCCCAAAAGATACATCATACCAAAAAGATTATGTGCATTCCGATACCCTGTGATACGGTACAACTACACAAATGACCATGAGATTTATGTACTCACACAAATAATTAACCCTGAGATTACTGACTGAAACTACACGCGCGATAATCCTTGAGTAACCTTAAGATTACTTTCATTAGGGTTACCGGTATAGTATTACTTAGTAATTTTAGGATTATCTGTGCAGACTCACATACCATGAAATCATCCGTGTAATTGTACCATATCACGGGATACCGGGATGTAAATAATCGCGCTGAAAACTAGTACCAACAACTTGTGAATGACCTCTCTTGCTGGGTGGCAATACCATAAATCCTCACAAAAAGCAGGGGCATTCCTCTTCACCGGGTAACCCAAAACTGTTGACGCGGTCAACACTGACCATATCCATCTCCAGACCATTGAGTGACATCAGCTCTTCCTCTTCTCCGGCTGAGACCCCAAGAAAGTCCCTAGTCAACTTCTTGCCCCCCTGCCACGTCGACACATGATCCGCTATACCTTCCACGTGGCGTGCGGTTGTGGGCCCCATCATGGAGGCCTTCTGGAGGAGTGCAGTGGCTGACAGGTGGGGTGAAGGGGTGGTGGTGAAGGGAGGGCGGATGAGGGGGTCTTCATGCTCGACATTGACATCAAAAAGAGAGCTAGGGTTAGGGTTAGGGTTAAGATCGGGATTAGGGTTAGGACTTGAGATGAGTGGGTCCCATATGGATGACGCAGAGAAGGGGAGGAAGAGAGGGGGGGTTGTGCTGTTTGATGTTGATGAGGCAATGAGTCTTGCACTCTCTTCAGCTAGGGCATCACAGAAAGCTCTATGGGTGATGAAACTATCTTTCCTGTAAATAAAAAAAAAAGGGAAAAATTAGATGTCATGGGATCTTAAAATTAGTGGTTAGTAAAGTGACCACTTCAATAACGATCACCGTCCCCGTTAAGGGTTGTGATTCGTATTGAGTGAAAAATGTTAATGAATGCAGTATAATACCGAAGATATGTATGTTTTGAAATTTAAAATGAATCACAATGATCACCGTAACACTAGACGATTAAAATAGTAGCCTCTCCATTATTTTTTACAATGACCAAATGAATTTCATCTTGTTTACCTTTATATATATTTAGTTGCTTTTTGGGAAAGAATGTAACCTAGATCTTATCACGTCCTTAAAATTATGCTATTAATGTATTAATGCAAATAAATCATTGCCATTAATGACTCATTAGTTAAGTAATGAGATTGAATTAAAGGTCTGCTAGAAAAAGAAGTTAATAAATAAATATCGGTTTTTCTATAGAGTGCCCATGAGCACTCTATAAGAGAGGAGAGAGATAGAGACAAATGAATAGTTCATGGGCCCCCCTGATTTGCATTAATTTCCGTGCATAATTCATTTCTCTCTATCTCTCACCTCTTTTATAGAGTGCCCATGGGCACTCTATAGGAAAACTGAATTATGGTAATTAAAGAGTAAGTTTGGTTAATGTTATTGTGATATTTGGACGGTTAATGTTACTAACATTATCTGTTGCTTTTTGAGTTGTCGGTTCAGACAAAGCATTAAATGCCTTAATTAAGTAGGGTTTGCCTTGACCACAATAATTAACTGGCACAAAGAGACTTCTTATTGACCACCATCATTATAGGGGCAGCAGGTCAAACAAATATCAATCTTTATACTATTTTGTCATATGCCATCATTTATAGGTTACTGACAACTTCATGCAGTACCCTTATGAGGACTGTACCAAATAGGGTAATGAAGAGGACCTCAAAAAATAAAAAATAAAAAACTAAAATCTTAAAAAATCCAGGTGTTTAGGTGTTTGGTTTTCTAACCTATGAATTGAGGACGAACAAAAAATAGAACAAGAGAGACCCAAGA